GAACGCCTTCTCAAAGTCCAGGAGGGCTACCATGGACGATGGGGAGTGTTGCTTCACGTAGTGCAGCATGTCGTCGAGGCGCTGGATGTTCGTCTGGATGTTGCTTTGGCGGATGAAGCCTTGCTGATCGTGGTGGATGATGTTGCGAACCTGCCGTTGGAGTCGGTGGGCCAAAATGCTTGTGAGATGGCTGAGGCAATCACGTCGATGATGGCTCAGGCAGTTGATCATGTAGACATCCAAAGCAACGCTGGAAGCGACAAGTCGATTGGCCAAGATCACGACCCGACACCCAACCCGACACCCTCCATGGACGGATCCGCGCGCTCGGCGACCACCACATCCCCGACGGCGAATGGAAACTCTGCTCCCATGTCGCACCAGCCGGAACGGAGACCAACACAATCCACGACCTTCCCTCAAACCAAACCCAGCCCGCTTTTGCTCCGGAACATGACGAGCAAGTCCCATCTGCACCGCTGGAATATCAATTGGTTACGGGCGACCGGTTCAAACCAGCATCGAAGCGGCCATTGTCACCACGAGAGTCGCAGTCCTTTGCTACCTCCAACCGCTACGCATTGCTTCAGGAAGACGACGTCGAACTCTCCCTCGAAGACTTTGTCATCCCACGAGTTGTGCTCGGTTACGGGCGACCATCGTGGACCTGTTTCGCTAGCAAAATCTGCTGCGGAAGAGTTTGAGCTGCCTAAGCCCCAAGATGGTTACTACGTCCGTGGACTGTTGAAAATCTGTCCTAGCCTTCGTGTATTATCAAATCTGGTTCCAACGCGCCGATCGAACGTTCCGACCCGACCTTACCCCCATAACTCCTGTGGATACATCGATCCATGCAGTCAACCTATTCAAGATGCACCTGTGGCTCCTACTTGGAGACTTGCCTCTCAAGAAAGGCTACTCCAAAGTGTTCAACGTTCTTCGAGCGCTGAGTGCTGACCCATGGTTGAAGCTGCATGTAATCCCTGATTCCGTCCACGCCTAGAACTCAGTCCACCCGACGGTGACAACCATACTCGAACAACTTCCCTCGCGCACTGTACCCAAAACACATATTTATACAGTACGAGGAAAATTAGTTAGTTCATTAGGGCCTTTGCTCAACTAATAAGGTAATAAAACTCAATTAACCTACATGTTGGATACAGTAGAAATCATGTTGGTCTATTGTT